TGCCTGACAAATGCTCCTGCATGACTAAGGAGAGGGAACTGCTCCTTAGGATCGTGGTGGATGGAGCTCAGGGGTGAGGTTACACACAGCCTGGCCCACAGGACCCTATCTGATGACTGTGACAGTCCCCTTCGCTGTGACTCCTGTGGTCACCAGGTGGAGATCACAAAGTTTGGGCAAACCCATGGCACTGTTCAGGTGCCTCCCCTCTGCTGGCCTGGCACCTTAGAGTTAGAAGCTAGGCTCTGAACGATTCTTCTTGGTATTCCCCCAGCCGGCCTTGGCGAATGAGATGTCACACAGAGAGGGGCCTCGGGATACCAGGCAAACCAAGCTCACGATCCTGCAGGCAGCTGCCGGATGGGTAGCGCAGGGTATGGTGGCCAATGTGTTATTCTGAGCTGAAATTTCTGTGGCTTTCCACACTCCTCCTCTGTATGTGGCTGATTTCAGGTATGCCGAGCACCCCTGTGACCTGTGGCTGCCTGTCCATGGCTCATGGAACATGGAGAGGGAGCAGCCACTGGCCTCCCTTAGCAGGTTTCCTGCTAGAGAAGTGGTCTGGAGTCTGACTGCCCCCCCCCCCGTGCCACCTGGGCTGGTAGGGAAATGGGGAATAACCAAGAAGTATGTGCTTAGAGAGGGGAGAGGGCCAGGGAGCCTGGCCTGGTGCCGCTCAGGCTGGCCAGAGCCAACTCCACGGTCTGGGGGCAGAGGATCTCAGCAATAATTCAGGGTTCCTGCTCTTTGGAACCAGTTGCCAGGAAACAGGGAGACAGGCACGTGCATCCCTGGGGAGAACAGGTTTCTAGGCCAGACAAAGCCGTGAAATGGAAGCCCAGAGTGCAGACTGGAGGCCTGCGGCCTGCCCACTCCACACACAAAGGCTGAGGGAGACAGGGCGGGGCTGTGAGGAAGGTACACATAGCTAGTCTGTCCACAGTCATAGGATGCACACATATGGGTCCTGGACTCAAGAGTTCGAGTGGAAAACTTTTCCTGCAATTATTCTAAGAGAAGAACAGCCACCAGTATTCCTAAGTGCAGGAGAATGGACTCTCCAAAGTGCCGTCTTCATTAACTTTGGCCAATATGGGTCAAGGCAAGGGTCTGAGGCGGCTTCTGCCTGTCCCAACCTCAGAATCATTGGGATCAGGATCGGGTTTACCTGCTTGGCACTGTGCCACCTGGGGAGAATGGTGCATCTTTCATGAAGTCATCCGATCCCTGGGACAGACTCTTGGTTCCTCCAAGTTTCTGGAGCCAGACCCACTGGTGCCCACTGAGCTACCACCTTCTGTGCCTGGGTGCCAGGCCCCTCTCCGCTGCAGCCATGAACCAAGCCTTCTGGAAAGCTTACAAGTCCAAAGTGCTGCAGACTCTGGGTGGAGAATCTGAAGAGGACCTGGCAGAGGAGGTGGGTACCGGCCATGTTTTCTAGAACAGAGAGACAGCAAAGCGGGGGAGTATTAAATAAGCTAGGAAGATAGATTCATTTCTGTAAAGACTGTAGGCACATTCGGGGATTACAAATCTCCGCAAATGATGGAGATATTCAAGAACACAAGGAAGGAAAGAGCTGGGGCCAGGAGAGGAGTCGCTGGCTCCAAGGAGCTCATGAACTGCCACAGGATAAAGATTGCTCTGACGAAACTTGGCAGGAGCCACAAAAGTACGTTAACCTCACCACAGCTTTCTAGTGAACAAGGCTAAGCAGAAGTGAGATGACTTGCCCAGAAAGGTAATGCGCTCCTGCTTGTGGGAGTAGGGAGTGATAGATCTTATGCTATGCGGGCCACAGAAGCGACCTTCCATCAAAGCCATGCTTAGACAACACTTAGTTCTGAGGGGGAGGGCAAAAAGGACTTTGAAACTAGAAGTTTAGATCCAGAAGCTGTGATAAGTAACAGTCACGCCAAGAGATGTGGCCGGGGCAGGACCTAGCCCTGTAGTTGGGAGGTGGATAGGCATATGCCCAGGCAGGCTATGTCCGAGGTTGGGTTGCTATGGATGTGTCTATGGAGACTCTAGTACATGTGAGAGCTGGATTAGTGATTTCTCATGAATATGCATTTTGAGCAGGACTCTGTACCGGTGTGCTTTCGTGTAGGCATTTGCAGGCGTTACACTTGATTGGTAGAGAAATTTTGAATGTTCTGCATAGGCCAGGTCTAGCTAGCTGCCTGCAGGATGGATTGTTTAACCACGCGAGTGTCCTCGTGTGGGTGCCTGACAGCACACACATCTGGACACAGCGGGAAAGGTGTAGCCACAAAGAGGCATGCTCCCGTGTCTGTAGCCATGTGCACCGTGTGCCCTTGTCTGAGTTATTAAGAGTGTTTGGGTATGTGTGGGAGTGGCCAGGTTTCTGTGTTCAAGGGTGTCTGCAGAGATTTACCATGCGGGCCCGTGTATGTGAGCAGAGGCAGCATTACGGAATATACGTGGGAGCATTCCCATGTACCCTAGTGGAGATGCAAAGGAGGGTATGTGCGTCCGTTGTACTTAGACCACGGAGTGTGTGTGCGTTGGCTGGCAATGGGTTTCTCTCATGCTGGGTGGGGGGGTTCTTGTGTTCCAGAGGGAGAACCCAGAATTAGTGGAGTCTGAGACACCAGAAGCCCCGGAGGAGGCCCTCAACCCTATGTCACAGCTGGCCCGAAGGGTGAGTTCTCCAGTCTCTCATCCAACCCTGGAGCCTGACAGAGGCTACGGTGAAGCCCCGGGGGTGGGGGGGTTGGTGGGGCATCCATTCTTGACTCTCAGTTCTTCCCTCCCAGGTTCAGGGGGTCGGGGTGAAAGGTTGGCTGACGATGTCATCGCTGTTTAACAAAGAGGACGAGGACAAACTGCTGCCACCAGAGCCCTGTGCTGATCAGTACGTGTGTGGCTTTAGGGCGTGGGCTGGAAGGGTCCTAGGATCTCTTTTCTGCCATGTTCATCACCCATAGGCTCCATCCTCTGTCAGGATACAGCAGGGTTAGATGGGTTCGATCTCCTGGGACTGAGGTAACGGGAACTCCTCGTGGGTGTCTCCTCCCTCTTCCTCAGGACAGGCAGCAGAGAAGGGTGGTATAGATGGTAAACCCTCTCCCTTCAAAGGAGCATAGGTTCCTTCCCCCCCCCCCCCGATTTGCTTGGTGTACGTGGAGGCCTGAGGATCCCAGAGGACCCCAAGACATGCCAGTTTGGAAAGCACTGCTTTAGAAGGTCTTGGATGTTGAGAACAGACCTAGGATTTCCTCTCCAGGGCAGTCAGTCACTGCCTTGCCCTCAGCCCTATGCATGCACAGACCCCTACCCCATCTATTGCTCTTGCCTCAGGGGCTCCTTTCCTCCCCCACCTCCTAGCCTTCTCTGCCTTCTTGCCCGAGGACTTTTCCAGAGGCAAGGCTTCTTCTTCAAACATGAACATCCCTCCTTGACCGCCCTTCCACACTTCGGTACCACGTCTTCTTCACAAAGCGTCTGTGCCCGGATTTCCTCCACTTTCTCCCGCGTGCCAAATTCCTCTTTCCCTTAATCCTAAACCTAACCACTTTGCTCATTTGGTTCTCCCCGCCTCCCCCTCCCCGGGTGGGTTCCCTCCTATGGGGACCAAAGGAGCCCACCCCTACTCTCTCCCCTGCCCCTCCCCTCTTAGAGACCCTCCCTGGCTTTCCGAACCTGCCTTGTCCCTGTTAGTCTATTTTCTCTGCACCAGAGTTCCTTCTCCAGACTCCCGACTGCTCCACCCAACTCGGGGATCCCGGTTTCCCTCTGCCCAACCCTCTCACCACCTCTCCAGACCCTGTCCCACTTCACCTTTTTTCCCCCAGATCCTCTGAACCCTCCCTTTGATTGCAGGCCCTGGTCTTGCCCCGACTTTCCTGATCGCACTTCTTGTCCTTTCTCCTGCTCACTGGCCCATTCCGGGACCCCGGGCCAGCCCGCTGACCCCCGTCTCTCTTGCAGCCCGCTGGCGGCGCCCCCCTCCTCGCAGGCCTCCGCAGCAGAGACAGAGTCGCGCGGGCCGGGATTCTGGGACACCTTCGCCAGCAGATGGCAGCAGCAGCAGCAGCAGGCGGCGTCCATGCTGCGCGGTGTGGAAACCACCGCGGAGCCGGATGCGGAGCCCCAGGACAAGCCTGCCGAGGAGACCACGGAGTGCCCCGAGACGCGGGAGGTGGATCCCGCCGCAGGCTTCAAGTGGGGTTTCCTCACCCACAAACTGGCAGAGATGAGGATGAAGGCCGCGCCCAAGGGCGACTAGCCGGCGCCCGTCCTTCCCTACCTCCCATTAAAAAAAAAAACTCCTGGATCGACAGCCAGTGTGACTGTGTAATTTTTTTCCCCCGACAACAGGAAAGGCTACTTTTAGGTGGACGTTCTCAGGCGGGGGCTAGCTAAAGGGTTCCTCGCCTTCTTTCCCTACAGAAATGTCGAGACAATCCAGGTGACAGTATGGGTGGCCTTAGATTTAAGGCACACAACTTTCCAGAAAAGCTCCAAAGGACTTGCTCCACTGCCCTGTCCAGCTTCGTTTCATTCAGCAAACCCTGCAGGTGGCTCAATAGCGTACATAGGTTTCAAAATGTATGAAAATAACTGGAGTAGCGAGGTAGCTCTCTACCAGCGGGTCCCAGACAAAGGTTTGTCGAGGAACAAAATGGGGCTTCTGCTGAGGGGATGAAGCACCCTCGGAATTTAGGAAAGTTTCCTGGAGGAGGTTGGGATCTTCGAAGAAGGCAGAGTTAAGGACGGAAACCTAAGGCAGAGGTGAAGGGTCTTGAACAAAGGCTTTGACTGGAACCTGTGAAGAAAACCTGAGACTTTGTGTGTTCTGGAGGGGAAAAAGGAACTCTGCTGGGAGTGTAGTTTCGTTGTTAGAGGGCTTGTCTAGCTGCGTGAAGCCCTGGGTTTGGTCCCCAATTATCACATGAACTTCAGTGGTAGCTAGCAGGATGAGGCTGGTCTGGAACGCACACACAACGAGAGAGAAAGAGAGAGAGAGAGAGAGAGAGAGAGAGAGAGAGAGAGAGAGAGAGAGAGCGCCAAAGGTGCCCCAATTTTAATGATTTCCATTTTGGACCCTCCAAAAGTCAGCCTTTCTCACCCCGGGACCCCGCGGGGGGGGGCGGGGCGCGAAGCTCCGGGAATCTTGGGTAACTTAAGTAAGCTACAGTTTATATTCCAGGCACATTTGCACGAGCATTACAACTACTCCAGAACCCTACCATCCACCTCCTTTAATAACCCAGAACTGCGGAGTGTTTGGCCAAGGTCACACTCAGCCTGGAACCCACACTCAAAACCCACCCACTCAGCCACGCCACCCAGTTCTTCCCTTTCCCCCACCTCTGCCCGCTAAACCAAATTTGCTCCTTTTGCTAAAGATTATTTTAGCTTTATTCAGTAGTTCACTCATCTCCCACCCCACTCCATCGCTGCTCACATTCAGCCTCCAGAGAGGCTAAGTGACCACCCCACCCCTTTCCGCAGTCTGCGCCTGGCCCTTGTGGTCCTGCCTGCTCAGGGTGCAGATGGGGAAACTGAGATCTAGGGAAAGGGTTTATTCACGGACGAGGCGAGCTCTCCGGGAGCCGTCTCCAGTGCCGTAATGCTCACACCTCGGACTCGCGCGGTGGAGCGCGCGCTCGCTGACAGCCATACAACCACTGGATGACGCGAGCGTTGCGTTCCACCACTGACACCGGAGGGCGTCCATCCCGAGCGGACCCCGCAGCCTCCGAACCCCCGCCGCAGCCTCCAGCACAGTCCGGGTGGCCCGCGTCCCCGTCGCTGGATGTCCAATCGCTGGTGTCCCCGGAGCCGGGTGGCGGCGACGTTGCGACCTGCGGGCTGTGCTCGGCGCCCCAGCTCTGCGGGGAGAAGCGCTCGGCGCCCAGCACCTCCACTAGCGCGCGCTCCAGACCGCAATAGTTGAAGAAGCGCTCCTTCTCCGACAGAGGCAGCGAGCACGTGGGACATAGCGCTCTCTTCCCTGTCGCCTCTGGACCATCCGGAGACCCAGCCCAGGCTGCGGGAGCCGCAGGTCTCTCTGTAGGTCTCGGGCTGCTCGGGACAGCATCCCGGGGGGCGCCCAGGAAGAGGCGTCGTACCAGCCCCTGGCCCTTGGCGTTCTCTTTGTTCACCGAAGCCTTGCAGTCCCGCTTCTGGCGGTAGAAGATGAGGGAGTCAGGCCTTGGCTGTCGCCTGCCGCTACCCCGACGGGCAGGCCCAGGCGTCCTGGGCGATGCAGAGGTCCCCAGCTCATTGCAAGGGTGTGGTGTCAGCGGTCCTGGCCCCCCTCGCAGGGCTGGCTCCTGACGACGTACTATCACCTGCTGCGTCTTGACGTACTTGGCTTTGTCGGCCTCCAACCTCTCTACGGCGCTGGGGGTTCGTCCCCTCGACGGTGTGGAGGGAGAGGCCAGCAGCATCTTAGCGGAGTTGGGCAGGTCAGTGCTCCATACACTCTGGGATGCACAATTAGCTGAGGAGCAGCGAACAATTCTCTGGAGGTCCTGGGGCCTGCAGGGAGAGAGGCACTGTCTGGAAGAAGGCAGGCTGTCGCTGCCCTTCTCCTGCAGGCATTCCTGGGTAGAGGATCAGTCAGTCACCCCTCCCCCGTCAACCGGTGCCTTGCCCAGGGAGCAGACGCTAGACCCACCCTTTCCCAATCCTTAAGAGGCATTGGCTAATTCTTTGGCGGGGGGGTGGCATTTATGCCCCTTTGAGAACGCTCTCATCTGGTTACTGGACCATGAGCATGGGACAAGCAAGCAGGACACTTGGAAAGGAAAATCAGGCGGGCCCGAGCTCAGTTCCCGAAATCGGCTTTAACCGGAAAAAATACCTCTTCCCAACAGAGCAACTTCAAGCCCAATACAAGGAGGTTCCGCAGCCACAGGCTGGCTGCAGCCGACCCACCCTTCCCGCCCCCAAGCACCGAGGTCAGGAACATAACCATAGGGTAGGAGTCTCTAGGAACTGCTGCCAGCTTCCTCGCCCAGGTCCAGCAGGGTTATTCAGGAAGGAGAGGGAGGTGGTCCCCAGACCGTACTAGTCTGCTACTGCCAGTCACTGTGTGCCCCAGGCCAAGGGGAGTCCAGAAAAATCTAATGGTAGGCACCATCTCGTTCAACCCCTGCACTTTGATTTCAGAAGCCAGGACAATGGCCAGGAGAGGAAGGTGTTTGTATGGGTCCTTTTGAGAGCTAGGGTGCCCCCTGGGACCCAGATTTCTTGCCTTATTGGGTAGCTCTAGCTGGACCCCGGGTTGTCTGTCAGTTCGTCCCTCCAGCCGCTGTAAAGCCCAGCAGGAACCCCTAGTCTCACTAAGCAGTTCACCCCACTGATTCTGCCTAATAACTTGCATGCTCGGAGATCTGCCCTCTGGGTCCCTGCCCCCTTCCCATCCAGAGACCTCCGACCCTTCTCCACCTCCCTCAGGCTCCAGGAAGAGGGCAAGAGGGACAGTAAATCAACAGCTGACAGTTTCCTTGTCAGCTAACAGAATGGGCCACCCACATGGCCTAACACACCCTCCCCTGTCCTTTACTTCCCCGTTCCCATACAGCTGAAAGAGACTTATTGGTTCTGGGGACTGAAGGGACCTCGGATCTGGAGGCAAAAACAGACTGGGCAAGGATGTGTGAAGAAGGCGGTAGAGCACAGACCCTGGTCTCTCCACCATGCCTATTCATGTTACACTTCCAGTCTGTGGCGAATGTGCTCAGAGTCTGAGCAATGACAGCCTGTGCCCTGCTCTCTTTCCTTGGGGACTATAATGGGGTCAGATTCCAAGGTCCCACAAGGGCACTGAGCTGCTCTGACCTCATGGATGGCCTCTGTCCCCTCCTTCTCTCTTTAGCCTTGAGCAAGGAGGCTATAAAAAGTCCCTAAACACAAGGACCAAAATAGTCCACTGTCCCTTGCCTCATCCCTGTTTTCTAGGCTGGCTTTGATGTTTGACCACAGACGGCCCATGCTGGATTGGTAACCAGTCTTCTCCCTCTGCTCTTTTGCCTACCCTCTCCCAGCCCTTGAGGTAGAAATTCCAACCCTGTCCATTCAGAGGCTTCAACATTTGTGCCTCTGGGTTCAGTAGCTTGGCACTAGCCTCCTTGCTATCAGCCCACGAGTACCCTTCCCTATCCTCATGCCCTTCAGCCCGCATCCTCACCTGCCTTCCGCTCCAGATGCACTCACCTCTGGATGGAGACGCTGAGTTGCAGGGGTCCCTCGCTAAGCCCAGACTGAAGAAGGCCAGGGGACAGCAGGGACTAGGGAGTAACTTTGGTGGCAGCCAAGCCTTACTCTCCACAGGAAAAGCGAAGAGCCTCCACCCCCTAGGTTAACCCTTCCGGACCCAGAGCTCAGGCTCAATTAACTCCTTCCTGGCCAGTCTTGGTGCTGGAAGGACCGGTGAACAATGTCCAGCAACTTTACGGATAGTTAGATAAGCTCCATTAGGTTCCGTGGCTGCCACGGAGGCACCAGAGGCACCATAAACTTGGGCTGAAGTACCGTGGCCCCAAACAAGACCTTCTGCTCCCCAGGCTCCCTCTGAAGTCTCAATGCTCTGATGTAGAACGGAGGGCAGAATAGGGTGCTATGCCATTTGCTTTTTCCCCTCTGGCAGGTAGAGGCCTGTTTTAACCCTGGTACTGGAGTGTGGCAAGCCTGCTCTTCCTAGAGGTGAGCCTGGGGCATCTGCCTCCTAAAGGTGGGTGCAGTGGTGCTGCAGGTGTGTGGAGAGCCTGTCTCAGCAAGATTCAGCATAAGGATTGAGCAAGAGCTCCGTGGTCCAGCCCTGAGGATGGTGAAGGGAGCTAACTGGGAGGGTGTGAAGAAAGCAACTTTCCAGATCTAAGTCTCCATCCTTTGGCCTCCCACCTGGGGATCCCTAGTGGCCCAGCAGAGACACTATTCATCTCAAGGGGAAGCCCTAGCCATAAAGGAGCCACACCCTTCTCAGTAGGCAAACTCCTTAGCACTAGAGTTCAAAGGCCAAGGCTTGGCTCTGTCTTTGCTTTTCTCCCAGTTGTGCCCACCCCCTACCAGCCCAACCACTTAGCATAAACCCCCTCCCTCCCTGCTAACACTTTAATGTTGGCAAGGCACATTTCCTTCTAGGTTCTTGATCACCCTTGAGCCCCCTCCCATGGAAACTAGATGGGGTTCAGTAGGAATAGCAATGCCACTTCATGGGGAAGGAAATGAGTAAAGTCAGTCGGAGGGACACATGCAGACCCCCAAATCCTCTCTTTCCATTGCCCCCACTGTCTCTCTGGCAAGATCGAGGGTTCTTTCGAGAACCCAAGGCTCATCACCTGCCGAGAAGCTTCCATTACCATACCTAGGCCTGCGATGGGGTGGGAAGACTCTGGGACACACATACCTTGGTGGTAAATGGAGCTAGCTAGAAGAGAGGGATGGAAGAGGCTCCTCTGGCTTCCTACCGGGGAGCCTTCCAGAAGAAGCCTGGAAAAGCCCTTACCGCGGGAGTCCTACACTCTCAACAGGTGAACCCTTCATCACCCAGAGTTCAAAGGTCAGTTCATGGACCTGGTCCCCACCCCCACCCCTGGCCCCTGACCTCCTGTGGGACCCTGGATTCCCGTCCACTGTTATGAAGGGGGAGAGGGGGTATTTATTTTTGTCCATAACAACAGAATTGTGTGGTTACAGCATTTGACAAAATGCTCTCCAGCACGCTGTCACAACTCAGCTCAAGGACAGTCTTTGGGACTAGGTTTCATCACTTTTCCCACGGAGAGCTCAAGAGACTGAGGCTCAAGCTAGTGAAATGACTTATCCAGAGTCACACCATGAGGGATATTAGCTGTTTGCTTTGTTTTGCGACGGGGTTTCAGGTAGCCCAGGCTAACCTCGAACTTCTGATCCTCCTAGAATGCTAGAATCACCGGCACGAGCAACCACGCCTGATTTTGTGCAGTCCAATGCTGGGGGTGGAACCCAGGCGCTGTGTATGCTAAACAAGCCCTCCACTGACCCGAGCTACACTTTCACCCCAACAGATGACTTTTATTGAGAAAGTTATATGTGCTAAGGGCCGTTCTTGCTACTTTACACCCTGAGTCATAGATTTAATCCAGTGAAATGGTCCCTTCTAGTTTTGTTGATGCAGGTGGGGTACAGGCCAGTGCTCTGTGGCCTGGGCATGAAAGGGTTAAGAAGGGGAGAGGCGGGGTGGGGGCCCAGCTGGGATGCTGTCAATGGCAGGAAACCTGGCCTGCCAGGGAGAGGATGGGGCCTAGTGTCTCACTGAGGCCACCCCCATCC